CTGGAGGTTTCTTCCTGTTAAAAGGGAGTTTTTCCTTCCCACTGTCGCCAAAGTGCTGCTCATAGGGGGTCATATGATTGTTGGGTTTTTCTCTGTATGTGTTATTGTAGGGTCTACTGTGCAATATAAAGCGCCTTGAGGCGACTATATAAATAAAGTTAAATTGAATTCCTCTGGTACCCCAGATGTTGACTCTGCTGCACTGACCCTGAAGAGCTCAGTTACTAATCTTGGGGTAAAACTCGACTCTGCGCTTAGTTCTGATGGCAGTGGTGAAATCTTCATCCTGTCACCTCAGACGTGTGGAGGGTGGAGCCTTTTCTCTCCAGGCTTTGATAACCTGCCAGGTCTCCGTCACGCCTGCAGCTGGTGCAGAATGCTGCAGTTTTTAACTGGTAGAAGAACATCTGAGCACATTACTCAGGTTCTGGCCTCCTTACACTGGCTTCAAATTCAATTTAAAATCCTTTTACTGGGTTTTAAATCCTTAAATGCTCTGCTCCTGTATATTTACCCCCCCCTTACATCACAGCTGAGACTGAAGCTTTGCAACGATCTTCCTCTTCACATCAGGCAGTCTACCTCAGTGCTGGTCTTTATTCGCTGCCTTGTTATTTATTGTTATTGTGTTTGTTACTGTCATGTTTGTGCTGTGTGAATAAATGTTGGTGTGTTGGTGCACGCAGGCCACCGCAGGAGGATCCACCCACCTTTACCAAGCCTCCTCTGCCCTCCACCAACATCAACAGGAGCAACTCCTCCGCCCGCCTCTCACCCAGCAGGTATCACCTGAAGATAAACGATTCACTTTGATGTTTACAGTTTATTTAATTCAACGTTTATTTGTAGCAAAATGTTTTTATGTAACAGCTGAAGGACGAAAAATAGTCACGTTTGGTTTGTTTGTTTCAGCAGGACGGACAGGAGAGCGGTACGACACACACACACACACACACACACACACACACACACACACACACACGTGTAAATATAGTTTATTTATTTACTGTCACCAGGTTTAATATCTCTGATTAAACAAATGAACATTTGAAATTGTGTTTCACTGAGTTAGATGAAGATATCTGTTTGTATCCTCGTCTGAGGTTTGTGGGAAATAAAAGTTAAATTCTTGTGTTTTTTTTCCTCAGCAGCTGCCAGACGAAGGTGAGGTTTATTCATTTTTTCCAGATTTACTTCCTAAATAAAAAAAACTTTAAAAATAAACATTTAAACTTTGTTACTTGTTTAAAACGTGTTTTTAAATCTGTTTTTCCCCTTCAGTGTCAAATAGCAACACTTTCCCTCTTAGCAAGCCTCCCCGGCCCGGACCCCCGGGCCCTCCCGCTGGAGACAGGTATGTGAGTTAGACCATAAGATTTCTGTTTGTGGTGGTTTACAAAAACACACACTCATGGTAAACTTATTTTTATTGTTTTTAACAGGACTGGATCTCTGCCACACAAACTGCAACCTCGTAAGAAGAAAATTAGTTTGACATTTTGTGAAATACACTTTTTCTCAGAGTGTAAATACATCTGTCCTTTCACAATAAAACTCCAGAAATCGATTTGAAACCAGTGAAAAGGTTTAAAATGTCTCTGTGAGCGTGCTCAGTTTGTCCAGCAGACCAGAGCTGAAACAGCTTTAATGATTCGTACATTACAATAATCAGATTTATGAATAACAGCACAAATTTATACAAAATGATTTCTTAAAAGTTAAATCAACATGGAAGTGCACTGATGTCCAGCAGGGGGCGACTGCTCCTAGTTTGAGATCTTTTAAATAAAATATTTGACTTTGGCTCCATCAGAGTCACAGTGGGTGAAAGGTCATGTGAGGTTAGCTGTGGGCTGGTTGAGTCCTCAGGACATAGAATAGAATAGAGTAGAATAGCCCTTTATTGTCTTTGTCCATAGACATGATAAATGAGTGTAAAGTGATGGTAGTGTGATTGTGTGTTTTTGCAGCGATGCCGTCGGGCAGACAGTCGGTTCGTCCTCCTCCATCTGCAGCAGGATACACACAGGTAACACTAAAATAAACACGCGCTTGTCTTTGTGACATGTGGGGACCGTGGGTCACGTAAACATTATGAGGTCCATACTGATCAAGAGTTTCACAATAAAAGCATCATCAAGAAATGATGGTTTCTATCAGACAAAGAGTTTTTAATTTAAAATACAGGAAATAGCACAGATGTTTTTGTTTGTATTTGATTTAATTATATGTACTTTTAATGACAACAACAACAACAATAATAATAATTACAACAATGTTCTCGGTGATGTTCTTCAGTGTGAACAGCAGGTGGTGCTGTTTCCTTTGTCTTTGCTGAAACACACACACAACTCGTCATCAGAGGGTTTATTACTGTGTGTGTGTGTGTGTGTGTGTGTGTGTGTGTGTGTGCGTGTGTGTCTGTGTGTGTGTAGGAGCTGGACCCTCGCTGGTATGTGGGTAAAGTGACCCGAGGTCAGGCTGAAGGATGTCTGAAGCGAGTCTGCAAGGTACCAGGAACAGAGCGTCATAATAAAAGTTTCTGTTATTCAAACTTGTTTATCAGGACTCGGTGGAGCAGCAGCCACACACCCAGCACGCGAACACTGTGGTCTAAACACTTTAAATCCTGTGTCTCATGTAGGATGGGGCGTACCTGGTGAGGGACAGCACCCGGCAGCAGGCGAACCAGCCCTTCACCCTGATGGTCTACTACCAGGACAAAGTCTACAACATCCAGATCAGGCAGCAGAACCAGCAGTTCGTGCTGGGAACCGGACTCAAAGTCCAGGAGGTAAAATCCTGGATTCTTCACAGTTACAGCCAACATGTCTGTTTACTGTTTACAGCAGATTTCAGTGTTCAGGGCACTATAACCAGCTACAGAGGTTTTCCTCATGATGTCATGTGCAGCTCACTCAAGAACTGTCCGCCATATTGGACCTGACAAGGAGTTTTGATCACGTCCAATCACTGCACACGTGAAATCATCACAACACCTTCATTCTGAAAATAACAGATACAAGCATCAGAGAAACTGTGTGACTGCATCTCAACTTTCACATTTATAGTTTTTGTTTTGTTTTTCCGTCTCATCATCTTCATCACCCTCCTCCTCCTCGCCTGAACTTAGGCTTCTGACATGACAAATCAATCTTGTCTCAGTTATCACAGTGTAGACATGCGACCCTCCGTCTCTGGACAGCTGACAAGAGACGACTAAACAACATCATAACGTTCCAAGCTAACGGCAGCTAACATTACACTAAAGCTTAAACTGCTTTCCTCTGTGGGAGCTCCACTCACATGTGTTAACAGCAGCTAAGAGCTAGCAGCAGCACCTACGGGCAGACACACAATGCTCGGACACGAGTGATAATGCACAGAGACGTGTTAATATGAAAATGTAATAAAGATCAGGGACCCATTTGATCCAGTGACTCCAGGTCCAGTTGCTGTGTTTCTTGTAAATACTGAGAAGCATCCAGACTTTTGTTGGCCTTCATAACTCGTCCAGTATAATTTGTTGTTGATATAAATGCTGTGATGTCAGAGCGAATACCAAGGTTACTTCACAACATCAGTACAGTTCCACCTTCAGCGTTCACCTGTAATAACTGTGTTTGACCTGCAGGGGGAGGTATAATCTAACTGTGTCTTGTGTGTCCAGTCCTTCCCGTCAGTCAGTGACATCATCAGCCATTATTCCCAGTCTCCTCTGCTGCTCATCGATGCCAAAAACCGGAGCGCCAGCCAGCAGAACCAGTGCATGCTCTCAGACCCGGCAGGATACTACCTGGGTGGCCAGAACTGGTCCTGACCGGACTGAACCGGATCAAACTTTACGATGATTTACGATGAATGTTCAAACGCCACTAGCGGCTGTGCTAAACGTCTTCCTGTTTCCAGGAAGCTGTGCTGTGTGGCGCCAGAGGAAAATGTTGGATTTTTGCACATGTTGCTTCAGTTGTTCGTTTGCCTTTTTGTGTTCCTGTTTTTACGGGTTTGTGACAAAAAAATGTCCCTTTGAATCTTAAGAAGAGTTCTTAAAAGTTTCAGCTTCTCTTTGGGGTTTCTGTCGACACTCGATGACGCTGGGCCAACTCGACAGCGTTCACTTAAAATACTTTCAAACTAAGCCGACTGTTTCTGTCGTCCTCACCTCCACGTAACCTGTGCTTCACTGTTCACCTGTCTCAGCTGTCCTCAATAAAACCATCATGTGATGTCATTCGTGTCTGGATTTCTCTAACAAAGCACAAAAACCTTCATTTTTATATGTTTCAGCCTAATGTACCACCTGATGATAAAAGACGGAAGCAGCCAATACTGACGTGCCTTAAACCTGCATTCTTTGTAACGTCCAGCAGGGGGCGACGGTACAAACGTCTGGCCTCTTTTCTTCAGAGCTGCTTTAATTCTTCATGATTCAGACTCAACACGCTGCAGGAAACATTCATCAGAGCTTTGCTCTATTTAGACATGACATCATCATGACATCATCATGACATCATCACAGCTGCTGCAGATGTGTGGGCTGCATCCATGATGAGAAACCAGCCTGAGACGATCTGAGCTCCCTCTGTGCACGGCGTGCTGGTCTGCAGCTCAAACGTGACGTCGTCACAGGACCTTGACCCGCAGCGCAGCAGAGCGCGGCGCGGCGCAGCAGAGCGCAGCGCAGGACGGTGCAGCAGAAATGGAGGAAGAGAAAACATACTCAGTCGTTTGATCATGTGAATCATTATTTTTAAATTAACGACACACACAGAATCAAAGCTGTGTGAAGAGTGTGTTCAGACGCAGAGGGTACGAGGAGGGGCGGGTCTGACAGGTTATAAGCCAATGAGCACACTGCAGGTAATCATTGGAATGATTTATTGACCCAAACTGAGCCGTCCTCCCGTCGGCCTCCAGCAGAGCGACGCCTTCTCTTTGCAGTAAAAACTGTTCATGCAAACATGTGAATGAGCTCAAGATACCAGAAGCAAACCTTAAATCTGCTCACAGGTCTGTGGGCAGATTTGGTGCTGCTGTGAAACAACACTGACGGTTACAGGTGCTCGCTTTTCCCACGGGCCCCACCGCCATGTCCACGCCGTAATCCCAGGAATCAGTTATAGTCCAGATCCTGTTGTTTTGTCTAAACCGTCACACAGAGAGGATTACTGCTGACACACACACACACATCACGCCCATATCGTGGTCTAAACCAATCAGAGATAGTCAGGGGCGGGACCTCTCCCAAGCTGAGATGTTCAGATATTGAGATGTTCAGTTTGGAGCCTTTGAGGCACTTTTCATTTAGACTTTCTTTTTATTTTATATTTGAGATATTTTCAGTGTAAATTTCAGCTCAGTGAAACACTTTAAGCACAAGAACTTTTTCAGTAACGTGTTTTTTGGACTATAAGGTGCAATTAAAATCCTTTCATTTCCTGAAAGTGCGCCCAATGTATGTAGTCTGGTTGTGTTTACTGACCTCGAACTGATTTTATGTGCTACACGCTCAAATCAGTTAAAATGTTTTAGCACGACTTTGCTAAGCTACGAACCCGCAACGCTCGATGGAGCATCACAGCGACTGTAGTCAGGAGTCAGTTAATCATTCATCAATGTTGTCTGTATGGACAGCAGTTTAACAAAGTGTACATGTAAAGCTGAAGTGTTCAGGGATGCGGCTGAAAAATTTGGGAGCACCAAAGAGAAAAAGTGCAACTGTGGGAAAACATCAGTCTCGAGCCCTGCAGCTCCCACTGCACCCACAGCAGCTTCTACACCAGCTCCACCATCTAGAAACTTTCTTCTGCCTCCTTTTTCTTTCTGGTCTTTGCGCCGTAAGTTTTCTCTTCTCGCCGTCTCAGCTTCCACGAGCCTTTCATCGGAGGATCTTCCTCATGGTGCTGAGCTCCTCCACCACGCTGACGGAGTGATCACGTCCTGCACACGACTCAGTGGAACACAGTTGCTATCCGGTCGTTAAGTGATGACGTGATGAATCCTACTTCCGGGCCTAAAGTAGTCTGCATTTAATATGCTTTTGTGTTGTTAACATGTTTAATGTTTTGTATTTTCTTCTATTTAATCTCAAAAAGCTCCTAAAACAGTCAGTGATCACTGTTGACCTCCCTCGGCTTTTATTACCGCTAATCATTTATTTAAGCTCAGTTTTTAAAACCTTAGGATGTAACTACAGCCCAGCCCATGCAGCAGTATATGAATGACTAACCTCGTATTGTGGATGGATTATCTCAGTTGTTCTCCTGCTGAAGTTTGGTCCTTTTACAGCATCCTGCCATGAGATTACATTTGTTCCTGACCACCGAGAACACTCACGTTAACTTTTATCGAGTGGAAAAAAAGTTAGCTTGTTTATATTATGCTAACATAGCTGTGTCGCTAGCGGTCACGTAGCACATCATTATATACCAGCTAGCCAAACTTCAGTAACCCTACAAACGTCACTGCTGTTTAGTTTTCTGTCTTCATTGATGTTGGAAGTGATAACAGAGCTGTACGTTTGAATTTGTTTCCAAAACCCCGCAGTCAGGACATGCTATGTTGTATTTAGATAGAAGCTAGCGAGCTAGCTAGCGAGCTAACTTTCTGCTAACTTCTCCGTTAAATGTCATAAATTCCGTTTTCATGGATGTTAAACTCAATTGTTACACCTGGTAGAGCAGAACGCTGATCATTTTATTAAAGATGAAAGACTTTAGACAGTTTTCAACTCTCAGTAATGCCATAGTGATCGTTTGATTTATGGACCTGCAGCGGAGTTTAGGCCCAGACACGGCTAGTGACGTCAGACTTAACACCGGATAGAAACCAGTTTGTGCATCAGGCTGTAAACAGCTTTATTTGAACTCTGCTGCCTCTGCTGGACGTCGGAGGAACTGCAGGCTCTGACAGGAGGATGGTCACATGACAGCCATGAGGACAGTTATTACACAAACACGGGCTCAGCTCCGTCCTCATGCATCTGCTCACTCTGAACAAACTCCTTCAGGCTGTAAAGTAACTGAGTAAAGTAGAAAGTTGTGTGCGGCAGCTTGGCAGCATCAGGATCATGACCTCCGTGTTGCTCCATCACTCGGGTCTTTGTGATGGAGCTGCTGGACTGAAGCCTCAGACCCGAGCTCACGTCTGCTGACAGACGATCGTCGGGGCGTCTGCCACAGACCAGCTGAGCAGTTAGAGCCACAGTGAAAACGAGCCCTGGTTGGGAGGCGCGCTGAAGCATTTACATGAGAATGTGAGTTATTTTGATCGGGCCTGCAGACATGCTGACTGTCAGCGTGTCGGGGGACGTCTGCAGAACAAAGGGCTCGGGCGACGCCTCAAACAGCAGCTGCAGAAACGACTCTGTGAGGAGACGAGCAGCGAAAAGCTCATCTGTGAAACATCAAATAGGAGCCCAGGAGAACGGGCAGCGGTCACAGACACGCTCTTCAGAAACACGACAACGCTTTCAGCATTTTATGGCTTACAAAGTTCATCGAGTGGGAAAGTCACAGGAAATCACCGTAAACACACCAATAAACAAATATCAGTGTTTGCAGAAGCTGAGCTTTAACCCTCATCCACAGCCTCACACGGCCAGCTGTGAACAGCAAACAGACCTTCAACAAGAAAAAGCTCAGAATTAAGAACTGAGACCACGAACATATTTGAATTTTCAGAGTTTAAAATGTTCGCAGGGTCGAGCTGACGTCTGCTTTCGATCCTCCTGATCTGCCCCGGGGCAACAATTCAACCTGTTCTTATTCAAATCAACCCCCTCCTCGCGCTCATGCCCCAGCAGCCAATCGGCTCGTACAGGGGGCGGGGCAGCAGGGTATAAGTGTCTCAGGTGAGCAGCAGGTGTATGGAGCAGACAGGTGCAGGCAGACGAAGAAGCAGCAGCATGGCGTCCTTTGTGCCGGAGCGTGGCCCGTCCCCCCCCGTCTGCAGACGCTCGCTGCCCCAGCAGGAGCTCCCGTCTCTGGGCCTCGACCCGTCCGACTTCAGCCTGTACGGCCCTCCGTCTCCACCTGCGTCCAGCCCGTCGGCGTGGCTCCAGCCGGCCCACAGCTGCAGCTTCGCCGCAGGATGTGCACCGGGGCTGCCCCCACCCTTCAGGGACTTCCACCCTCATCTCTACGGGCTCCAGAGGAGCATGCCCTGGTTCTCCCAGGACGAGATGCTGAGCTCGGTCCGCCCGCCATACTCTTACTCTGCCCTCATCGCCATGGCAATAAAGAGCGCTCCAGAGCAGCGGCTGACCCTCAGCCAGATCTACCGGTACGTCTCGGACAACTTCCCCTTCTACAGCCGCAGCAAGGCCGGCTGGCAGAACTCCATCCGCCACAACCTGTCGCTCAACGACTGCTTCCAGAAAGTTCCCCGGGCCGAGCGCGATCCAGGTGAGGCGAGCACACCTGGGCTCTGTTCGAGGCTCTGATTCGTCAGAGACAGGAAGATGTTTTGTTCTTTGTTTCCAGTATAAACTCAGTTTCTTCATCCAGGTTTTGACTAACCTTCCTCCTCCTCTTCCTCCCTGCAGGTAAAGGGAACTACTGGACTCTGGACCCGAACTGTGAGAAAATGTTTGACAACGGAAACTTCCGCCGCAAGAGGAAGAGGAAGAACGACTGTGAGACCAATCAGAAGAAATCTTCCTCCTCTTCATCATCACCGTCCTCCTCAGAGCCCAGCCCAAAAATTCCCAGTGTGCACAGCAACAGCGGTTACAGCACGGAGCCGCCGCCTCTCTCAGACGCTGCGTCCAACCTCAGCAGCTTCCTCTGCCACCTCCAGGACTCCCTCTTCCTCGTCCCTCCTCTTCCTCCCTCCTCTGTGCCTCACATGAAGTTACCAGAGCAGGCCTCCCCGTCGCCTCAGGGCTACACGTCTTCTTATTCGCCCGGTGCCGTGGTGCCGCAGTGGGACACCAGCTGCTCCTCTCCATCCTTCTACACCTCGCCGCCTCCTCTCTTCTCGCCCTCCCAGGCCAGTCCTTTTAACTTCTGCCCGCTCCCTGACCCTCAGACTGGCTCCCCGTCACTCTACACTGAGCTGCAGACGGCGTCCTGTCCTCAGGTGGAGCTCCAGGAGACGCAGCAGCTGCAGCAGCTGCAGGCCCAGAGCCAGCCTCTGTTCTCGGGGGGCTTCAGTGACTCTCTGCCCCTCGACTCGCTGGTCCTCCAGCACTGAAACAGACTCACCTGTCCGCCCTGAAAAGTTTCTATTTATCTTTTTTATACTTTCACAACTTTAGGATAAGTGAGAAAACGTGTAAATATGAGTGAATGTTGGTGTTTGGAATTAAAAAAACATTTAAGTCTAAAACTATGTGTTTGTTCAATGTCTCCAAACATGTCAATGAAACGTTTAACTGCACAAAAACAGAATTTGTAAAAAATCACTTTGAAAACCAAAAAATAAAGAGAAGAAAAGACTTAAGTAAATAAGATTTAATCAGTATCTTAAAATAAAAATAACCATAATTAAACTTTTACACTGCATTAAATTATAACTTTTTACAGGTTATATTTAAATTATATAAACAAAAACAGCTAAGTTTAGCTTTAGCATGAGTTTTGAATAGCTAAACTTCATTAAAGTGGATGTTTGCTATTTATACAAATTAAAAGGGGGAAATGAATAGCGACGCTTTATTTTAGCTTCTGGTGTTTTTGTGTAGCTAACACTGAATTTATATGAAGCTGATTAGCATCTCTGGGTAACTTTAGCTGCTGAGCTAGTTCTTTAGTTTTAGCGTGTGAGCAGCTGTCTTTGCATAACTTTAGCAATGAAATTAGCATTTAGCTTACAGGTTTTCAATTAGAATGTCTCTATAACATTAGCAGTGTAGCATAGCAGTGTAACTAGCCCCTTTTTATAACTTTAGTTAATAGTTATGTTAGCTGTACAGTTAGCATATTTAAATGATTATGTTAGCTAGTTTTAGCTGTAAAGATGGCCTCTTTCTATGAGTGTATAAGACGTTAGCATCTTTATGTAGCTTAAAGGTCTGTCTGTTCTTTATCAGCAGCTGTTTAAAATCACAGTTCTTGAGCAAAAGTCGTCCAGTAAGATTAAGACGAGTCTTTGGAGGTCTTTGGGAGTTTTTATAGGTTTCTGTTTGGGACAGCAGGATGCTACCAGGGCGCTTACATTTGGCCCTGCACAGTGTTACCCATGTGATGTATCACTGTGAGGTGGGATCCCCACTGTGGCCAAAGTGTGCGCTCATGTGTGTCATTGTAAGGTGATGTAATCAGGTACTAGTCTACTTAATAAGGTAGGCTGCTGCTGTGATTTGGTGCTTTATAAATAAAACTAAATTGAATGTGGTCATAAACTTTCCCCAGGTGGACTTTCCTTCCTCCTCTGACATTCCTGACCTTTGACCCCATGTTTGAGCTGCTGTCGGGTTTACCTGCCTTCAACCTGCAGGGTGAAGTCTGAGCGCGCTCAGGAGTTCAAATATACGACATGTAGAAACGATTGAT